TTGGGGGGAGGGGGGAAGGGCAGTGTGCGCGAACACCTCATTAGGTGCACCTGCCTGGTTATATGTCATTGACAAAAAGGGGTTAAAAAAAAGGTCCTGCAACACATTGGCCAACCTGGTAGCACTATAACAATGACCCGGCAGCTTTTCCAACCTTCCGCCTACCCCCACCTTGGAACTACCCAATTGTTTCACAGCCAAGGCATTCGCAGCAGCACGGCTCGGCCTGACAGTGACACAACCCTGGGGGAGGCACTCAGAGCTAGAGGCCAAGTTGGGCTCATGCGGGGGCTGAATGGTCTTAGGCTGGAGCTGGTCAGGGGGGCACAATGGGCCTGTGTAAGACTCCCTCCCTGCAGCTCCCTCATGGGGAGGGAGGATGTCCCATGCCTTGCTGCACCCATTTGCCCTCCCCCGACTGCTCCTCCATGACCCACAGTTTGCGGGCCCACAACATTGCCACATACGTACCATTTTCAAATTTGATGTGCACCTGGTCAAATTAGTCCCCTGCTCACATTCCATGCTTTCGCCCTACGAGAGACGGATGGACATCCAGCTAAGCCATACCTGGGAAGCCTGCACTGTCTTCCCCGTTTGGGGCCAATCACCTTTCAATGGGGGCCTAAAGACATTAATGAGACTTGCCTGCCTAATTCGCTTAGGTGGCTTTGAAAAATACCAGGCATTATGCCTAGTGTGCCTCAGTTTCTCCAGCTACACGGCAAAGCCTTGATGCCTTTGTCAGTGTTCCTTAGTATTTGAAGCAGCATTTTGTGGTGTAGAAGACACAAGGCCTCGTTAGAAGAGTTCTAAGCAGCAGGGGAAGGAATGGAATGACTTAAATTTGCAGGCTTTAAATTTGTACAGCTACTGTGGTTCCTCTGTGCTGCCTTTGGGCCACTGCAGCTGTGTGAGCATGGTGCCTGTTGCCCTGGCCTCAGCTGGCTTCCTCTATGCTGGCCTATTCCGAACAGGCATGAGGGGCCCTCCACCATGTGTGGGAAGCCTCCTGAGGGGCTTATGGTATGTGGCAAGCTTTGAAAAAGGCGTAGCACCGCAGTCCAGCTCACCCCTTACGTAAAACACTATTGCTGCCTGTATGCAACATGTCTCGGCAGCGGTGTGAGTTGGTAACTCGCACCACGAACTGATCCCATGAGCCAAACTCTCTCTCAGTATCTATCAGCATGGTGCTGTTGGATTCAGTGCACCTCTACTGAGTTACACCCACTGATCAGCTGGGCCCTGTTCTTCTAGAATTTTCTTTTATTTCCCTAATTCTTTTGGTTATGTCCCCTTAACCGCAAGGTATGTCTGGCAGCCTCATCTGGTTCTGCTCTCAATCAGTATTTGTTCTGTTGCCCTGATGATTGATGAGATACCGTTCCCTCACTCGCTGTGCTGCACACTGCACTGTTTCCTTTGGATGCGAGCTTATTTTGTTCAGACTGTCAATACTTTTAGTACGTTGCAATTTGTGGCTTGACGATGCCAAGCGAATGCAAAGCATCATTATCATTGCCAATGGCTTTACCCACTCATATTGTAGGATACAGCAGATGAGAGGGAAGCCCTAGCATCAGCTCTTGGAAATTGTGATGAGATGCTGAAAATTTATGGATATAGAGGAGATTTCAGTATATTCTATGCATAAGTTGAAATGTATCCTAGTTCTGAGGGCCCATGGAAATTTATGGATATGGAGGAGAGTTCAGTATATTCTATGCATACGTTGAAATGTATCCTAGTTCTGAGGGCCCATGGAATCACTTAAGCCATTCACTGGGACGATACACCAGCCCGAAATATTGTGGTGAATTTGCCTTTAATGCTGAGGAGGCCTCATATGTGGCTGTAATATAAATAAATGCTTAAAAGGTACAGCGGTAAATGATGTTCTCCATCTCCTGCTAGAAAGACTGGGACAGTGTAACAGTGGACTGGCATATTTTATTGAAAGGCAGTTTTCTTAAAGGGCTACTGTGATTTCTGGAACCAGCTGGGAATATATTTAATGCAAATTTTAGTTAGAGGTTGTTTACTGTCATCAACTTAATTGCCAGCTAACATCTGAATCCATAATCTTTATTGTTGGTTGAGCCAGAAAGAACAGAAATTGATTTTCAGATCCCATCCTGAATCTGCAGTGCTAGCAGTTAGACAAACCCCATTGTGAAATGCAAATGGAATACGTGTATTATGGAAGTCACTGACTGAGCCTGAATGTTATCCAGTCAAGAGCTATTTTACAGTCAGTCTTCTGACCAGAGCCACACTCTAATGAGAGAATTGCAGAGACAGAGGAACACTGAAGATGCCTATCGCTTCCTCATTTAGTAAACTGTAAACTTCCATTTCTTTAATCATTTGCGGGAGGGGATATTTCTGGAGAAGCCAATATAAAAGGGTTGAAAGGTTGGCTTGGATAATATGTAATCCCTTGTGATAAGAGCTGTTTACAAAATTATTAATCAACCATAGAAGAGGACAGATAGTAGCATTTTTTATTAAATAATTACAGTGGATCAAAAAGTACAAAATATCTTTTGCCTCCTATGCGATTGGGAAACTATTGGCACATAATACAGTATCAAAAGCATTAATAAGTACAATTTGGAAAACATACAAAAATTGAGTGTTTATAGTTGGCTCAGCTTTATTTCTGGTAGTGTTTAAACTAATACAAAGGTTACTCAATAACCTTTTAAGTGGAATACTATATAATATTACTGGGCCATTTTGCTATATACAGATAATCACCTTACAGCGCATATAGGCTACATAACTTGAATCACAAAAAGTATACAATATATACAACAAATGAAAGTTTAAAAAGTATAAACAGCTAGTAGATTATGCTGCCATTATTAGAACAGATTTAAAACTGGGGGGAGGAGAACAAATGAAATATCAAACACATTTACATCAAACACCTAGTAAGTGCTCATAATATTTCCTATGTTGCTGGCCTCACATGAGTGAGGTAATTCCCATTTTGCATTAAAATCATGACAATTGTAAAAGTAGACCAGCTGTGACCTGATTGACCACCGCCACAAAAAAAAGTGACTATGTGGAACAATGAATTAAAAAAATTAACCTTTCTCTTTGAAAAAAAAAACCTACACAAAATGTGTTACTGACCTTATAGAAACTTCCATTAGACACATAAGTGTAGAAGGGTACACTATTTAAGGAATCACGCGCCAATTCAAACAAGTTGTAAAGTAAATATGCCCTAATATAAATGGGAACTGATCTTATCCAGTGACAAAATAAATAAGACAGATCTACTGCAAAATGCAATCATTACAAATTGATCCTTCTTAGAAATACATTTTGTTGCAAAAGTCAGGTTCTGTTTTCAATTTCTGTTTCCTAAAGTCAAACTTAGTCTGTACTTTGAAGTTACACCAATATTGTTTTGGTTGGGCTTTTATATTTAATTGAATCTCACAACCTTCAGAATCTCTGATAAATCTTGAACATGATGCATTTGAATTGCAACATTTCTTGGAACTGATTCTTCGTAAATATATTTATGACTCTATTGCCAATTAGATTCCACAGTTTCCTTTACAACCCTCCCAATAACAATGGTTTGATTGCACAAAGAAAGGCTTGTGCAATTTCATTCAATAATAAGTCCCCTTGAACTCAAACAAATGCAAACAAAGCCCCATTTAAGACATTTTAAAAAAGTAATTCTCAGCCAATGGAGAATTCAATGGTCTTTCTGAAAGATTTCCCAGATTTCTGGTAAGAGTTTTTAAACAACTAATGTGCTTCTTCTGTTGGGGGGTTATGCTACCATCTCTTTTTATTTGTCCTAATGTTTTCCCCAGTATATTATGAGCTTCCTCAGACAGAAACAGTGAGTCTCCTCATGGAATAAATGAAGGAAAAATGCCCCTCCCCCCCTCTGTGTTAACATTGTTTTTAAATGCTGTGATCAAGTTCCAAGATGATGTCATCAAAAGTGAAATAAGAGACTTGTAGTAAAGAAATGCATGAATACAGATCATCATAAACACTATAAATGTTCAGTTTTCTGATTAAATGGCAGGCACATGCATATTTGTGTTTGCTGTATGTTTATACATTCCCCCCCCCCCAACCCCATATTCTTACATGATTTAGGTCTCATGCAACTTCACTAGAGATGCCATCGATGCTATGGTCTGTGACCAAATAAGCATATGATTTTGTTTTCTGTACAATATGTGGAATAGCAGATAAACTTCATTGGCACATTTATGTTCTAGATTCTGCTGGTCTTGCTGATCAATTAAATCTTGTTTTACCACAGAAATATAAAGTATTTAACTGAAGAAAGAGGATCTTTAACGCTAGAGGACTACGTAATTCTGGTTTCCAGGACATTAAATTTGTTCCATTATATGTTGCATTTGGTGTCATATCCTGGGAAGTTCTAATAAGATGCATGGTGTACAAGGTGTTTCCATTTTTAACAGTTTTGATAACTCTGTATATGAATAATAACTGAGACGGTATAAATAATAACCAATTTTCACATTGTCAAATACTTCCAAGTTCAACTTCTCTGATCTCAGTTTCTATATTTAGCTGCAGGGCGGTGATGGCTCTCAGCTGACCACATTCGTATGACCGTTTTTCATTATTATAAACTCAAAACTTCACTCATGGGCTTTTGCTCCCAGTGACTGGGCTGCATTATTCAGCATACATGCAGAGGACTATCACAAAAGGTGCTTAGGCCTTATGTCTCATGTAAGCCCAGTAGGATAGATTTCTACCTATACTAATCAACACAGCCCCTTTGACTTCGGTGGGACTCTGTGAATTTGAGCCAGTTGAGAAGGTAGCTCTCTGAATGGGGTTTACCTGATGCATAGTCTGTGCACTGAGTTTCACTTGATGTTAACTAGTCAGAAGGTGCTAGGTAACTGAGCATCACTCCTAAGCCACTATTCAGACGACTGAACCTCGGGCCACTAGTTAGTGGCAATCTTCTTTGTGGGAGGAGGCACCTCTTTCCACCCCCAACCCCTCCGCAGATCATCCCTGTTTGGAGGCACAGGCCTCTTCAAACCTTTTGATTAAAAAATAAAGATTGGCTCCTGTTCTAATTTTTGACATTCTTGACATATTCTTACAACCCACAAATCTGCCTTCTGCACTCCAATGTTATTCAGCAGTTTGTTGCCAGTGAGGTTTTGTTTTTTATTTCTCTGGTATGCGGGAGGGTTTCACAGCCTAGGTAAGGTAAGTACAATTGTTAACACATTCACAGACCAAAAGCTTCCGTGGCCAGGAAAGCAGTGTATGAGCCTTTGCGACAACACCAGTAGGAGCGGCAGGTGCTCAGCACCTCTCAGGAATAGCTCATCAATAAAAAGGTTGTATGCATCAATTGCACTGTTGTATAATCTACAGTATGTTTATAGCCTGAACCAGTTGCTTCAGTTTGTAAACAATAATATTACCACCAAAAAAAAGTTGTTCAAAAGTATTAGCACTGGAAAAATTACAGACACACACACATAAAAAAAAAATAGGAGAGCCACAGCCTTTAAAATAAGTTGCAGATAAAATGATACCGTTTAATTTAAAAAAATAAAGAGCACAGGTTATACTGAACCAATGAAACTATATAAATTATGTTATCAAATGTGACACTGATAGTTTTCAAAGCAGATATGTACAGTCAAATTAAACAGTGTTTACCTTTTTGTTCTAATAGTGTTAAAATGAAAAATCTATTGCAGTTTTACTATACATTGCATTGATTGAATCTTTGAAAGTCAGGAAAAGTTCCTCCCAAAAAGCGCAATTGCCTCCTTCTTTTTTTTCCAGATTTGTCTGGAGTCCTTGACTCAGTTAAATAATCTAAGGGCCTTGATCCTACATTCCCTGAAAACAAATGCAAGTTTTGCCACTGGCTTCAAAGAGATTAAGCTCTGTCCCTAAACTTCCATTGGCTTGCGCTGACCTTTGCTTTCAACGTATGTAAGATCTATCAAAAAAGTAATGTGCAGAATGAAATGATTTGGAGAGCAGGTGTGTGAGCTGGAATTACAAACTAGAAAATAGTCTTGTCTCAATCAGATTTGAAGCATTCAGCTACATGGGATGAGACTACTTACTGGTTAACAAAAAAATATTGATTTCTAATTTTGCAAGACATTATCACAGGGAAAGGAATGTAGCATTATTTTCTCAGATACTTTTTAAAAAGGGTTTACAGTTTTGTGCTAGGATGTACAGAGGACAGCTGGGAAGGAGGAAAGGCAGCTTGAGGATTAATAGCAGCTAAAGGATAAATGCTGTTGTGCAAAAGGTCACCATATGAACTTCCTACAGGTGTTGCTGCAGCTAAGTGTCTATAGAGCTGCTGAGAATTTGCAGGGGAGGTAAGAAATTGTCTTTGCACCATGAAGGAATGAAGAGCCAAAGGCTGCATTAGTGGAGAGAGCACAGTCTGATTTTTCAAGTACTGCAAAGGATGAGAGTATCCAGCTGGGATGCGATTGTTCAACCCTGCACACAGTGTTCCTGGGTACAGGCCTGTGAAAATAGGAGTCGAGAGAGGAAATTTATGGTTTTCCAACATGTTGCCAGAATGCAGACCATGAACTGATTTGCTGCCTTCACCCTCTCGATCGGGAACCTTTTCCTTCGCAGGTACCTCCTTTGGTAAGTGCAGAGGAGAGACAGCTCGGATCTTTTTTTCAGAAATGACTTTGTCCAAATCCTCTAGGTTCCGTTTCAAAGGCCGAGCTGCCCCAATGTTTTGGGGGCTGCTTTTGCGGCTTATAATTGGATGGACCATTCCTTCCATCTTTCTTAAATTCTCAAGTCTCTGAGTCGGTTGTTTTCCGGCCCTGTGAAGGGATTCACCATGTTTTTTAGGTGCTGACATGGTCATCGGAGAAACACGGCAAGCTTTAGGATTACAGTCTAGGCTCACCCCCTGGCCGCCTGATGCTTGGAACTGAGAAATACTTTTGCTTTCCTGCGGCAACATTGATGAATGTGGGAGACTGGTCCCTGCAATCTTTGCAGTCTGTTTGTGTACACTCTTCGGAAGACTCAGATCCGTTGGCTGATCATCTGAAGAGGCTTCCACTGCAGCCTTTTTTTCTTGCTGATGCAAAGATGGATGATAATTTAGATTAAGTTTTTCCTGGTGTTTGTGTTGAGTAAAAGTAGAAATGTTTTCTGAATCTCTGAACATGTCTCGAGGGAGGTACTTTGACGTCTGCTCATTATGAAGGTGGTGTTCGGTGTGCCGATAAAGGCTGTGCAGATGAGGAGATGAGTAAAAGTCTGCCAAGAAACTGGGCACACGGGAGTGTTGCAATGCCCTTTTCTCATTCATTTTATCTTTGCAGTCCTGAATATCTGGCTTTAGTACATAAGATTCAGCAAGCGAGTTGAGGTGATGTTTTGAAAAATCACAACGATGGGCATCTGGCTTACTTAACGTGTCAGGCTTAAGGGCTTCATTAATAGATTTCCTTTCCTCTGACTTCTTGGTTTTAAAACTCTGCACATGTTGTATTACAGAAGGTCTATTAACTGCCACTGAATCAGAACTGGGGACACTGTGAGTCTGTGATGTGCCTGCAGACAGTTCATCTCTGCTGTTTAATTTCTTTTTGCTAATCAGAGGTGGAGGTGACCCATAAGGGTAACTACAGGACAGGGATGCCCCACTGACCTGCGACAGAAGTTTTTTCTTGGCCAGTGGTGACATGATGCCTGGATTACCCTTTGAATAGATTAAGGGTGTGTAACTAAAACTAGGGTCATCGTTAATGGAACCTGGCAGCTCCTTTTCTTTGAACATGTCAAAATTCGGTACCACCAGAACTTTGGGCGTTTGCTTTAGTGCATTGTGTATGTCTTCATTTCCTAGCTGATCCACTTTTACTGTGCAGTTTGCAATATAATCGGCCATCTCTGGCAATTTATCCTCTTCCATATCCTTGTGACTTGGGAACGGTACAGGGATGGCAGAAAAACCATGAAAAGGCAGTTCTTGAGCTTCACTTTCTAAACAGTCTGTAAAATGGCATCCTCTTTGTTCTTGCTTTGTGTCAGCGAGGACCTCTGTTGGGGTGTGCAAGGGTTTGTTGGTGGCTGGCTCCATCATAGTGTCCTCTTCAGGAGGCCCTGAAGCATCTGAAAGAGGGACTGAGTGCTTAACTTCCTCCTGGAGCTTTTCACTGGTTGAGCTGCTTTCCATCAAGCCTGTCTTCTTCAGAGCTATTGGCTCTGTTGCCTCTGGTAGCGGAGGAGGCTGGGCCCCTTCGATAGGCTTTTTCATCTCTTCTGTTGCAGGATGCTCAGATAAACTTTTCTGATCCGAAGAGTCTTGATCCTTCTCTTGTTCCGATGAAACCTAAAAAATGTTTCAATAGAGAGTAATAAGAATGCAGTGTGTTGACAGATTGCTTATACAAGCAAATACAGTACACAGAAACTTATTTTGGAAACATTCTTGTCAATCATCTTGCTGAAGTCTGACATTTTTAATACCTCATATCAGATTTTAAACAAAGTAATCTAATTCCCACAAATACTGAAAATGTAGTCATGTCAACATTAATGACATAATAAGACCTATTCAAATAGCAAAGGCTTGTAACCAGACTATAAATAATTGGATCATCTTGACCAGACAGTTTAATGCTAAGGTGGACAACTTTCTATTTTCATAAATATTTAATTGCACTTTTCACACCATCATTGAGAAGAACATAAAAAATCCTCAGTAGTCCAGTCCCACCTATAACAAATATAGACCAGCCCCTGTAGGCTTTTCTTGTCATGTCTATACTGTAATTACAATCCCTTCAGTTTGGCTATCTTGACCTTCATTGATTGCAAACCAGATAAGTTGCATTTGGGTCTACTTTAAATTATTAAAAATTCCATCAATGGAATATTACAAATCAATGCTTTAGACTGAAAAATTACTGATATCGCCTAATGGGGGAATGCTTTTTTATTAATGGATTAAAATGAAGTTGTCAACATTCAGTGAGTATGTGCATGCTATTACAAATATAGCTTTTATAAGTTATAGTCAATGAGGCTGCGGCTCTTTATGCTTCTCCATTAATAAAGCTTGTGTGCACAATTCACACTATTCATTCCATTATGTAGACGAATGAACTGTGACCCTGGAGGTCATTATATGTTCCATCTGTGATACAGCTGACTGACAACCCTTTTCAAAATTGCTGTCATTCTTCTCTGACATGTCTTGGTAGAAGAGAGTTAGAAAATAGCAGCATTGTGGGAGCCTTTTATTATTATTTTTTCTTTCTTTTTTTAGTTGTAAAGATAAGAGACATCAAAAAAGTTATCCAAAGGCTGCATTATGGACTATCAAGTCAGGGTGGGATATAAAAGTAAGTAATGAATCACAACCATCTTAAAGATTTATTTTCTTCACAGCTGCTTTTAAATATTCCTCTGTTGGGTTTTCCTATTAGTTACAGTGTCTGTTAGTCATCACAAGTACTATTTAAAAAAAACCTAATAGCTGCCTTTTTCAGTTCAAATACTATCATTAGTCCTTCATAAAGTACTATCACTGGTCTCCTGAGATTATACAATTACAGGAAAATACCAGACAGATGAGCAAAGCCAGGGGGAAAGGCAAATCAAATTTAATAACTGTACATTCTGCTCTTTGTTTTTGTTAAGCAACAGTTTGAATGAAGTTTTAGCTGTTTTAAAGACACGCACAGTGTAGGGCTAATGACAATTTTTTTCTTCTTTTTAGTTACATTGGGCAATGCCACTGTGACTCCAATCAAATAAACACGCACAGTGTAGGGCTAATGACATTTTTTTTTCTTTTTAGTTACATTGCGCAATGCCACTGTGACTCCAATCAAATAAAGAATTAGTACAAAATTGAGTAATCAACTCCACACTCCAGTATCCCAGTAACAGCTCAGTGTAAATCATGTGATTTACATGTAAATCATGTGATTTACCCAGGTGAGTGGTGACTATGAGCTAGGAAGGACTGTACTCTGACACCTAGTTATTACTTGTAGAACGAATCCTGGCACAGGAAAAGAGACTGAGAGATTAATTCACTTCCCTTTCATGGACAGTTAGCTTGTTTGGTTTTGAGGGTTCCTAATTGATGTTCCTGGGGACTTAGAGAGAGATAGTGATGCACATCCCCACCCTAGTCCTTGCCCAGTCCTTTCACTCCAGCCTGGACTCTAGTCCCACTGCACCCAAAGGTAGCTCATTGGGAGCTGAATGTGCAGCAGAGATCCTCTTTCTCAGGGACAATGCAGGGGTGTGATCTGGGAGCCCATAGCATGGAGCCCTCACTAGATGCAAAGAACAGAGGAGCTCAGCAGCTATGGGTATTTCTAGGATAGAAAGGCCCCCAACTTCGGTGACCACATTGTACCTGTTCAGCTGACACTGCCCCAACCCCAGAGGTCCATTATGTCACTAACGCAGAAGGCCATGAATGGCAGCTGGTCCCTAGGTAACGCTTTCAAGGGAGGCAGAATTGCCCCTGCATCACTTGTGGATGAATGGTTTATTGACAATTAGGGAAACTGAGTGGGCTGTACGTGCTTGTAGTTCCAGCTCTGACTAGAGCTTCTTTAGGGGAAATCAGTTCCTTGAGCTAGGGCCATCCACACCCATCCACAGAACAGGTGCATTTCCCTTCCATGCCAGTTGTGAACTACGCTCAGCTCCTGAGCTAACTTGGCCCAGTAGCATAGTCATTTCCCACATCTCCCTGAGGCTGACATTCCCCTTATGGCTTCACAAACAGGGACAGGATTTGGCCCTTAAAATACAAATATCCAAGTTACAATCAGACAGAAGAGAATAATTTTGATATGGGACATAACATTTTGCAGTCGGAAACCACGATAATTGTGCGTTACAGTGTCTATGCTGTATTGCTGACACATTTCCAATAAGCTCTGATAGGAACTCTTCCTGAAATTTGCAAACAAAAATAACTGCACTTTAGCCAGCAGGAAGTTTGAGATACAAAACAACAAAAGCAAGGAAATTCAAAGTTAAGACTGACAGTCCATCCCTGGCTCGTTATGTTGTGCTTAGCTGTTGCAGTACATATGGTATGTGACATAATTCACTGATCTGAGACCATGGCAATAAATAACCAGGCACAAAGGGATGACTGAGGAATGGAATGCTAGCCTTAACTTTGAATTTCCTTGCTTTTGGCCTTTTGTGTCGTAACCTTGCAGTTACTAAACAGGTTTTTATGTGCCCTTTCCTTTATATATGTGTAATTAGTAGCGGCAATTTTTCCAATGTTTCTTGCTTTCATACTGAAATTAAAGGAAAAGTCTTTCTCTGTGAAGTGTCAACTTTAAAAGCTCTGTTGATCAAGTCAGTATAAAACATATATTCTGAGTCAGGCAGACTCTTATGGAGCCATTGTAAACCTGACTTTTGTGAGCGCGGGCGGTGCTTGGCATGATTATAAAAATTCACTCTACTTGAAACTTAATAGACAAGGTCAAAACCATGCACATATTTAGCTGTTTTGCTATTTTTAAGACATAGAAAGAAGGACTTTTCAGAGTCATGTCAAACTAGATTTTCAGACTGGTCTAAATCCAGTACATCTGTACATGCCAGACAGCAATGGCATCAAAGGCACTGCTGAGCTTAGTTGGCTACATAATGCATGTCTTAAAAATTCTTTAAATACTTATTTTCAGGAAGGCTTGTAATGGCTCCAATGTAGCTATTCTGATTTCCTAATAAAGGAAGACACAGCATATTTTCTATGCAATAGACAACAACAGTTTGATTGGCATCGGGTGTACAAGATTGGAAGTACGAGAGGGAGTAGGATTTTCAAAAGTGCCTATTATAATGGTAACAGCACAACTGTAACAACCAGTGGGACTTATGCTCCTCTGTCACTTACATACATTCAAAAATCCCATCCAGCATGTGCAATCCTGAAAACTCTTCCATGCGTGTCTTAAAAGAGATAAAAGTGTGTTCTACTGACTCCTTGGGGCTGGCCTGTCACAAGCTTTGGACCTGTGAGCTACTCCATGAGGGCTGAACTCTGGGTCTGCATAGAGCCCACTTAAGTGAATGGGGCTCAGCACAGGTCCACTTGAGACAGACTGCAAAACTCCCATTGAGTTCATTGGGAAAACCATCAAAAGTAAGGAGTACGGGGCTGTGATACTCAAATGTTAGATTGCAACCCCAAGGGGCTATTTAGTCTGGTTAATAATGCAGGAAAAATGAGTTTGTGATGGAAAAGTGAATACATCCCTAAGTGTAGAAGTGCTATTACAGGGATTACCATTAAAAAGTCTGCATTTTCCAACAGTTACCACAATGTTATCAGAGGTATTTCAGTTTCCCCAGCCTATATTTAGAGTAGGAAATCACTGTGGAAACTGCGTGGTTTCCTGTTGGCCAGTGTTGACCATTTTAACGGTGACCACTGTATAATACAATGAGCAGAGACTTTATTTCCTACATCAATTTTGATATTTTGCCATCATTTCTATGGAACATGGAACTTGCTGGTTGCTGTTTATAGCCCAGCACAGTCACAACATTTAAAATGCCATCACAATTGGGTTTTGGCTACTGAGCAAAGGATGGCCAGCTAATTTTGGAATTCTCAAGTTTAAATGATTGATTTTATAATTGAGTTTTATTATATTAAAGCAGTACATTGTTAATTGAAAGGTTAAAAAGCAGGAAATTAACTAACCTCAGATGCATTTGGGGGTTTCTGTGCATTATCTTTTTCTTTCTTGCTCTTTTGGTTTTCATTTTTGATGCGTTTTGTTCCAGACACTTTTGTTTTAGGTTCGCTCTCCTGGGAGCTGTTATCCTGTTTTCGAGGTTTCACTGGAGGCAATGGCTTATCTTCCTCTCCTTTAATAAATCTTTCATATGGCAGGATTAATCTAAAGGATTAAGGAACAAATAATTGATCAGATTTTTCAGTTCTAGCAAAGAAAAACACGTAACAGCTCCAAGCAGTTTGTTTAATAAACCAATTTTTTCTAAAGCATAAAAATAATTCTGTAACTTTGCCCTTGATATTTGATCCTAGGTATGACAAAGCTGTGTATCTGGCAAGACTCTCTGCTGGTGCCAATAGTGTCATTCTACTGATGCCCATAGAGCATCTTGATTAGGGAGCTGAGGATCTTTCCCACAGTGGTTTCAACTGATTGAAAAGTTAACCATATCTTTTTTTGGCTGTCTACTCCTAAGCCTGTAGAATGAATGCCAGGAAAATGGTACAAAGCTAAAACAACCTAATTGCACACCTATGTAGTTCCAGCATGGTGGTGAACATGAAATCTGTATAATTGTGTGTAGACGGGAAACTTGGTAGAGTGCAGAGGAGACATTGTTTCTCCCAACCTCCAATGGTGGGTGCAGAACAATTTGACTAGCACAGAGCTGCCTTTTCTGGCAGAGTCATGAAGTGAAAGCTATGTTGGTCCCTTTTCTAAAAGATGTTTCTTTGCTCTTCTGCCGAAGGGCCAGAGGGGTAGGGATTGCTTCTAGGGGCATAGCGGCAAAGGAAGTGTGACAAAGAAAATCATAAGGGTTTAAAAACTAATTGCAGAATTTTCTTCAACCAAGTGTGTGAAATCACTTTCTAAAAAAGAAAAACCTCAAACAGTTTGAGTTTTAATCTATCTGTTTTCTCTTTGCAATATAGCTCTTGATCTAAATGGAAAAATAACTGATGTAATTAAAAAGGATGGATTGCATTACAATCTTAGTTTCAACTTCAGTGATTAAAGTTTTTATAATGCATTTGGTATGATTAATGACTCACTGTGGGATTAATACAAGACTCAGACTTTAAAAATATGAACTTTAATACAGCAAACATAATTTGTTTAAAAAAAAGACAAGTTGACTCAATGAAGAAAATGTACTTTGCTTATAAACAATATAAATCTGTGCAAATGCTGGGAATCCTTGATTATCTTTAATCTAAGACTCCAAGGCAGAAAATTCTTTGGTTTAGATATATGGTTGTTATCCTACAATCAGTTTCTAAACATGCAATTTTGATTTAAATACTTAGATGCTGAAACATAGTTTGGGCTTAAGAGAGCAGAAATTAGATTGTTTGTAATCTTAATGTTTCACATTTTAATAAAATACAACATAATTTATGTTAAAATATAAACCTAATTTATGCCATATTAGAAACAAAATTTAGTAACTGAGCATGCTCTGACATGGTATGTGCAAAGAGGCGTGAATAATATTTTCTAGCCCTGAATTTGGCAGTGCTCCAGTAATGAAGCTAAGCAGAGCCCACAGGGAATATTCATCTTCAGATCCCATTACAAACTGAGTTTAAACATGTTACAGCTGCTAAAACTAGAAACTGCTCCCTCTATGCAGCCTTAGCAAAATAATATATAGTTGCCAAATACCTGCTTCCCACTGTAATATTACAGTTAATATTTATATAATAAAAAGCATAACTAAGCAGAATAAGAAAAAAACACTCTTGTTCATACTTGAGGCTGGTAAATTTCATTTGTAAAGCACAAATATTCATGAAACACTTAATATCTCCCTCTGCTGCATGCAGTATTTGGGACTTACGAGAGAGACACGTTTTGGTTTCATACTGGGCAATATTTATATCTTGCTGCCATGTGTTAAATATTTAAAGTCACTTTTAATAAAAACACATTTTATTGCTATAATTGTTCGCACTGTGATAGGATTGTTTGACTTTTGTTTTGTTTCCATGGGAACATGTCGTCCATTTGCAATCTACATATGCCATCAGTAAATGTTTCAATAGCTTCTCATATCTCTAAATGAGATGAAGATGATATTGTACCACTAGTGGGCCTTTTAATAAAAAAATACTGTGTGATTAACATTCTGGTTAAGGCAGAAATTGTAACAAGGCTGGGCCTGACACAATTAATCACCATTAGCATTCTTTCCGTGGTTCCTTTTAGGGCACTTTCTGACAAAGGCTCCTCCTCTTTGTTGCCATATAGAGCACCAGGACTCATTAGGTTTGGTGCTAATTAGGAACCACAGCTTAAATTTCCTTTTCTGATCTTAAGAGTTCATGTGGGAGTACACCATTTTTACTTCAGTTCTTTTCATGGAGTTCAGCAGTTGGCACTAGGACAGCAGGAAAAAATACACTTCACATAGCCGGTCAAAGGCCTAGAGCCAGCAGCAGGAAATCTGGAATTAAATGTTTCTCATATCGGGAAAGAGGCATGACTAAGGTAAAACTGAATCAAAACACAAGGATGGCTTGTTCCAGAGAGGTCCCCCCCATCCCCTTTTTTTTTAAAAAAAAAATAAGGCCCAATGTGCTGATGTTTCACTACAGCACAAAGATAATTTTTAAGTGCACAGATACACACACATATACAAAGCAAAAAGGAAGCATACATGAATATGCGCTTTGAGGCTCTAGGGAAGGCTAACACCATGAACAATTGCTGCTTCATATAGACATTTCCGTTTGTTACAATTTGCACTGAATGTTTTTTCAGTTATCCTGTCATGGTACAACACGATTACCCACAGGATATGATCTTATCATTTGATTATTAGAAGTTTTTATAGTACAAGAGTAATAAAGCTAATACAGCTTTCAGAACATTTAAACATCCAGCTAATATACCATTAAAACACACTGTACTTATCCAATTTAAGGTCAACATTGCTCAACACAGGAAAAATGTGGTTCTCTATTATACAAATAGTTTAGCAGAATTCAACATGCCAGAAACTAGCGCAGGATTTTTGTCAAATATTTGCAGCACAGCTAAGATGTAATCAGTCTTTAAGCATGTAAAGGTAAAGGCATTTTAAAAACATGGCTACCTAGAATGCATTTAACTGAAAACAACAGTTAAATTTTCAGTTGCTTTGAACTGTAGCTGTGTTTCAATATGGCAGGGCTAGAGGAAAGTACCAATGTATTCAGAAGAAAAATTAAAAGAATATTTTATAGTCTAAAGAATATTTACTCCTAAAGTCTGCAAGCAGTCCAAATAAAAGGACCTTTATTGTGATCAAGATTCCAATATTAAGATTAATAAAATGTATTATTTATAAGGCAATTAACATAAATAGAATATGTAAGCAGTAGTGTATTAAAAAAAATCTTTCCAAAGGCAGCAGATTTTTAGCAGCATGAGATTTTTTTTTCCCTTGGAATAATACAAGAATAACATTTTCCAGCCAAGAGCAGAAACAGTAGGGGAGTCTTTGCTATCACAGAGCTTCTTATTAAATTCAGTCACTGTGAAAACCAAGACTTTTTTTAAAAATAAAGACAACTTAAAATCAATGCAAGTTAGATTAACAAATCAGTGCTCTGCTAATCCTGATTTATTACAATCAGAAATATTAAGTTTAATCACGTATAAACTGCTAGTCTAAAAATATTCTGCTTTACTGAGTCTTGAATTAAATAATGGTGCAGAGTGTACCAAGTTTTTAGATCTGCATCATCTGATATTATGAAAAATTCAATGTACTGCTCTGCAGCAGATGTCAGAGGTCAGCAAATCTATTACAGTAATGTAAGTAATCTGGCTTTCTGCCAGCCTTAAAAAAAAAGAAAAGAAAAGAAACACAGAGGCAGATAATTTTATATTTATAAATTCCAAAATCCTCCAGGGACTGCATCTTTTTCTCAACAAAAAGCAGAATTCACATCAGAGAAATGTAATTCACAGTATAACAAATACGTCTTCATCACTGGCGTTTCATAAAAAGAAAGAGAAACCCCCCTCTTTTTTTTTTTATAAATCAACATTTTTCTAGCTATAGGGAAAAAAACAATGCAAAATTTAATCTGAACCAGTAACCACTAATGTTTCATAAAACTGATTAATGGACACACAGAATGAATGACAATTTTAGCTAGTGCTCTGCTTTGTAGGAGATGAGAGTGTGGATATTTATAGGAATAGTAACAATCTCGCTATGTATTTTAGAGATTTGTGCATCTGTTTGTGAGTCTGTTTGTTCAAGAACTCCTCCTAAATGGTAAGAGTTAGTACCACCAAATTTGGTGTGCAGCTTCCTCTTATTCTAACCTAAAGCAAGATCAGAGTTTGGTTGTGCTGGGAAAATGGGATGTGCCTGGAATTGGATTGTTTTCCATCACCTGGTAAGGGAGGAGGCAGAGAGGAAGGATGCAATCCTCACAGTCACCACAGGAGGCAGCGAGTACAGGGGTCAGCTGTACTGCAGAATCACCACTGGAGGCAGCTGCACCACCAGCGGAGTGGACCGCTGAGGATTGGGCTTGCAATCTTGCCTCCCACTGGCCTAGGAAAGTAGCCTCCCTACCTCAAATCCCTCCGTCCAGGCTCTCAGACCCAGCCCTGGCCTCACCAGTGCAATCTCTCCTGGGACCATCTCTGGGTCCAGGCAGCACAACCCTCCCCCCTCATGCAGGATCCACTGGCACCCATCACCGACACCTGCACTGCTGGGCTGCCCCCCAGGGCTGTGGTAGGCCAGCCTGTGTTGCCCCCCCACTTCACTCCCCCCAGCCAGCTGAGGGAATGCTGGCGGGAGAGGCCTGCATTCCTCACCTTCTCCTCCACCTCCCGGGCCAGGCCTGTGCAGTGTCAGCAGTGAAGGCCTGAGTGCCCCCATCCCCCACCTTCTTCCCATCTCCTGGGCCAAGACTGGACAGAGCTGGCAGGGAGTGCATGCATGGCCCCAAGTCCCAGTCCCAGTCCCAGGCCAACCCCCCACAATCTCAACTTCCACCTCAACCCCAAGTCCCTGTGTGACAACCCCCTCCCCCCACCAGCCAGGGAGGGCTGTGTGGCCCTAACACCCAGTCCTGAACCAGCCACCCCTTACTCCAAAGCCCAGACTGGTCCCCCCAAATCCCAGGCTTCCCCCTCAAGGCTCCGGGCAATCC